TCAGTTTCTCATTGTGGCTGCAAACTGCATAGGAGAGGCAAACTTGAAATTCAGGATGCTTTTGGTTCAGAGGCAGACGTGTGTTTGTTGCCAAACCCTTTGTGCTGTTTCATTTCACTTCTGATTTCTTCAAAGCTGAGGTTTTAGTTGCAGCTTTTTGGTAACTCTGTTTCGTGAGTAGGACGGGGGGCAATACTGATTTAACATTATTAGTGCTGCTTTGCCCAAACAGCCCGTTTAGCAGCTGGTTGTTCTACAAAAGTATTAATTAACTCCTGCATGGTAGAAAATACAGGGTGGTGTCATGGAAATGGAACTCGTGTGTTTGAATTTATCCTCATGTTATCTCTTTGCTTGCTTTTATTCTTCCCCAGAAGGTGATGAGGTGGGACCTGGGATCACCGATGACACCGAAGATGAGAATTCAGCTAATCAGATTGCTGGGAAAATCCCCAACTTCTGTGTTTTATTACATGGCAGCCTGAAAGTGGAAGGCATGGTGGCTGTCGTCCAGTTGGGGTATGGGCCTGGATGGCTGCCTGAGAAATCTCTTACTTTGCTCATTGATGCTTTAGTTGTAAATTATTTATATGTGTTCTGTACAGAGCTCAGCACTGGTAGACAAAGCTGTGTGGTTTTAATTGCTGATTTGTTTCTGCCAGTAGAAATTGCAAATAATGAGCCTCCACACAGTGGGAGGGCAGCAGATTTTAGGCAAAGAATTCAGCCTTTGGGATTTGCTCTTTTCAATAGGCCAGAGTGGTATGGAATGCTCTATTCACAAGCTGATAGTAAGAAGAAATCAAACCTCATGATGTCGCTCTTTGAACCTGGTCCTGAGCCCCTTCCATGGCTTGGGAAGATGGCACAGCTTGGACCCATTTCAGGTACTGGTCATGCTCATTTGAATAACTCTTACACATTGAGTGTTCTGAGAAGGATCTTGCCAGATCTTAGTTGTTAAGTCCATTTATTTTCTTTTTTCTACCAGATGCAAAAGAAAATCCTTATGGAGAGGATGACAATAAGAGCCCTTTCCCTTTGCAACCCAAGAACAAGCGCAGCTATGCACAGAATGTTACCGTGTGGATTAAACCAAGTGGCCTCCAGGTAATGAGATGAGTTTTGGACTTGATGCTTTGCTTTCATCAGCAGCAGCCATCTTATCAGCAAAGTGGAGTCTGTGTGTGTCTTGTCTGTTTAATGCAATTGCTTTATTGCTTTTCTTTCATTTTAATAAACTGCCTCTTTAAAATGTCATGATTAAAATGCAATCAGAAAGCATAACTTGTTTAATGAAACTGTGTCTCTAGTGTAGCATCTGGCTTAGTTTATTGGATTTAGTATAATGACCATTTGTTGGAGCCTTTGTGTGCTGCAGTCTTGTCAATGTCAGGGTCATTTGTCAGTAAATAGTGGAGGGTTTCTTCTGCAGCTTCCCCAGCAGTTGCCAAGAGCTTTATGTATTTGTTTGTCTTTCCTGCAGACAGATGTACAGAAGATCCTGAGAAATGCAAGGAAACTCCCAGAAAAAACTCAGACCTTCTATAAAGTGAGTAACATTTCAGGCTGCCCAGCTTTGGTCCAGAGTGGTAGTGGTGCATTTGACAGGGGAACACATACTGTATGTTCTGTGGAGGCTTGTTAGGGCTCTGTGAAAACCTACATGGTAAAGGAGACATCCTGTGTCTATTTTACAGACTAGTTAGGGTGAGACAAGGGAGTCTGATTTTCTTCCACCATGTTCTCTGCCAGGGTGGCAAAGACATGTCACGTTTACATGATCCTTGCTACTTCCATGGTGAACTTCTTTGCAGAGTTTATGCTGTTGTCCAGGTAGAAATAAACTGGGATCAGACAGAAATAGCAACACAATTGTGAGTGAAAATGTTTCCTGTATTGTTTCTGCAACTGAAGTGGAGAAAGACCAAATTCCAGGCACATGTGGCCACATTGTAATAATCCATGATCTACGCTGTAGCTGGAGGAAATTGTTGTTCCTCCTGTAAGCTTAGTGCTGAAGCAGTTTGATATTGTAGCCCCAGAGACTTCAAGCATGAATAAGCACTGGTCAGTGTATAGTGAAGAAAAATCAATATAGATACATGTTGCTGGATACTGTAGTTGAAGGCAGCAGTCAGTGAAGCCTGAGCTGGAGGCCACCTCTGCTGGGACACAGCCAAAACAGGCAGGTACAACAGCACAAAAGGGAGAAGTGGAAATTTATAGGAAGGGATCAAGGGCAAACCAACTCTTCAGTTGTGCCACTACCATCTTCAGCCCTAAAGCACCTTCATCTCATGAGTGGCTCAGCAGTTTCCAGCAGCTGAATTGATCACTCTGGTTATTTTCCTCTCAAGTGAAGAAGCTTGCCTTTAAAATAAGAAGCAAGAAACCACTTTTTGTGGAGAGGCTCATAGTGGCTTTAAAAGGCATTTTCCTTCTTTGCAGGAACTGAATCGCTTACGAAAGGCAGCTCTGGCCTTTGGCTTTTTGGACCTCCTGAAAGGTGTGGCAGACATGCTGGAGCGGGAGTGCACTCTGCTTCCCGACACGGCTCACCCCGACGCAGCCTTTCAGCTCACCCATGCTGCTCAGCAGCTCAAAGTGGCAAGTACTGGAGCGTCAGAATATGCTGCCTATGATCATAACATTGCTCCACTCCAGACAGACTTTTCCAGCAGCACCACTGAAAGAATGTAAAGTCTCCATTTTGGGAACTTCTATAGGTTAAGACTCAAGTGGCTCAGTTCTTCTTGCCCTGCTTACTTTCTAGGGCCTGTTTAATTACTGTCTGGAGAGCTTTCAAAATGGGGTCCCCGACCTGCATCAGTACTCTCTAAAGAAATATAGCTACTTTGGGGGGGCTTTAGTCAGACCTGGAAACAGTGGAAAGCATCCCAAAGTCAATTACTGTGTTGGATGATGGGTGGAAGCTACTCAGTACATGAGAGGAGAGAAAATGCCACCAGTCAGCAGACTGCTCATGGCTTTTGGCCTCCCTAAAATGCAGTTACTACATAACTGAAATCACTGGTAGAAGTGTCCTAAAAGGCAGCTACTCTACTTCATACAGTGACTTGATCAGTCCAAAGAAAATGTGTGAGAATCACTGTGCAAGATCAAATGCAGCTGATTACAGGGTGTTGTCTCTGATTTTATGCCCGACTTGGAAGTCAGTCTGTACTGCCCTAATGAGAGTTATCATCACTTGCATGGCAGTGCTTATGCTTGTGAAAGTAACTGAAATCTTGTGAGACATGTTTTTTTATTGTGTAATATTAATAAAGAATAGTTCTTCATTAAAATTTGATTTGGATTATGTTCCATGTTCATAGCATCCAGGCTGTGTGGCCTAAAACATTGGCCTCTTTATCAGAAGAGTTAAGTAATTCAGTTGTACAATTTCTCCACTCAGGGAAAGAACAAACAAATGAACCAAAGCAACACTTGGTTGTAAATCTTTATTAATATAAACACATTCTTTCTGAAGGGCTAAAATTCAGTAGTGTAAGATCCATGACAGCTTGCACTAGGCACCACAATTTCACTGAGAAATACAGTGCATGAATACATACAGAATTCATAACTGAAGTGTAAACCCCAGTGGAGAAATTAAAGGAAGTGATCCTTGCTGTTCTATTACTCAGCTAATTCAATCCTTTGACATACTTCGAACATAGGTACACAGTGTGTGCTAAGTACTAAGTGTGTAAGTAATGCTTAACTCTCCTGAGTAAAGTAAGCTGCACTCTCCTTTGAGTGAGTCTCAAGTATCCCTGAAGGGAAGTTGTAGCTCTTTATGAAATGTAGCGTGGAGCTTGTACCAGTTCTTTGTTAAAATCTTTTCATAACCCTATTTCCTTTCCTTTACAGTAACAATCACTGGGTCCCTATCACAGATAGCAAGCTGTTTGTTTCCTTTAATATAGAAAATAATTTTCTGGAGGATTCAGACTATTTTACAGCAGAAGATGAACAGTAACATGGCACTAAGCTAATCTCAACTTCAGTGCCTGTTCTGGATTGCTGGCATTGCTTTGCATTGCCCTGGGGCAGTGGCAGTTGTGAAGCAACTTGCTGATTACCACAATATGCCTTAGACAAAACTTCCTGTACACGTTCTAAACTGGATTAAGGAGGCCAGAGGGATCTGGAATAACTACAGCAGGCAGGCAAGGTGTGAGGAAGGACATGCTGAAATGAAATCATCTGCAACACAGGTTTCCAGGTGAGTAGATGATCTGGAATGTGGGGGGGGGAGCTTCTCTGTTGTTTGAAGCAAACAGAGGAAATGGTCCCTTCAAACCCTGTGTAGGATCTCCCTTATTAAGATTTAATATATGCTATCTACATAATATATGGCTTATTTGACTCCATCCCAGCAGGGGCCAACCAGCAAAGTATATACACCAACTTCTCTGCTGCACCCCTAAGTTTAAGTAGAAAAGCAATCCTTACTGACTTTCTGAAGGCTACAAGTGTGGGAGCAACAGCCCTGCCAGGAATGATCAAAGGAGCCTTTGCACAGGTGGAAAGGATTTCTGTTGGGGTTTGCATACTAGGGGAAAGCTGGTACCTATGTTTCCTTATTTTCTTATGTTTCAGTGCTTGCATTACCAACCAGGAATGCATTTCTGACCATGTCACAGAGTGGCAGGTTCCTTTCCCTAATGACTGGATAGGATGTGTTGCTACAGGAATACATGTGTTGCTTGGGTCCTCACAGCACTCCTAAGCTAGAAACTAAGTTGGTAGCATATAAATTTGCGTCAGCTACTTCCAGTTCAAGTTCTGCAGCAAACTGATGCTGCAGAAGGGGAAGGGTAGGTGCTGAGCAAGTTTACCCCAGCAGTTAATAAACACCCAAACACTGTTCACAGTGGTCTCAGTTGTGCTCCTCCTGCCATCATGATGCACCCTGGGAACAGCATAGGCCAGCTAATAGTCTATCCTGGCATCAGAAGCCCTATCTGCATGCAATATTGAAAGAGCAAATATCCAATTTCACACTATTTCTATTTAGTGCTGCTCCACTGTTTATAAGCATATTATATGCAGGTAATAGGATTTCTAATATGGTAGTTGACAGGATACAAGTTTCAAGGTTGCCGTTCAGTGGTAAGTGCCATGCATACAGTGATTGAAAAGAACAAAATACAGTATATGGAATGCTACCTGAAATCATGAGATCTAGTGTGAACATTGAATTTTACAAAATTCTTTACATTACAGTGGGTAAAACCATAAGAATTAGAGGCTTATCTTGAGATAAATTAGGTAAGAAAGCATTGCAGTCCTCTTTCACTTCATCTTCCTCTTCTTTGGTCCGAGGTGCTGTTTCCTTTGCTTGTAGAGATGACGGAAGTTTACAAATATCCCTGAAAGAGAATGAAGCATTTAGGTAGGAGACATCATCACATCTTTTCAATGCTCAATGTCTGTGAAAGGGAGAAATCTAGGGGAAATTCCGTTTCAAATTAGCTACGTTAGAATTGTTGTGGGTACCCAGACATACTGGGTGTGCATACTACAAAGCATGTTAAAAACTAACACCAGAAACCAAACATGCATAAAGCACCATTCTTCCTTATGAAGATAATTACGACTATTTAAAGAGCCTTCTATATTGTTCCATGGAAAAACATAACTTCATGTTGCATTAGTGATTAGAATGCGGTTTCTTTAAGTATTGCTTTAATTTGAAATTATGTTTACATTTCCACTGAATCATCCCAAAGCTCAAATACAATGTAAAAGGTGAAACTACATATACTGAAGTTATAAATACATATAAACATCAGTCTTTTAACCCAAGTGATCAGTAGCTAACACTGCTGTAACCAAGGTCTCCTTCTTGGGGGGCTAACCAGTGCTAACTGTAGGTGTGTTCCCCTCCATCTATGACAAACTTACATAAACAAGCAACAAAGGTAATACTTAACCTCAGGCAAATTTGGGTTATCGTAATCCCCAAGAGGCAGGAATTTCATTTTCTTTGATAAACACACTTATTCAGAGGAATTGGGCCTTTTAATTTCAGTAGTGAGAAATGGAACTGAATCTCTTACCTAAAAACAGGACTATAAGATATACTTGAAGCAGAAATGAAAACTGGATTGTGACGTTGAGTGGGTTTGGCAATCCCAGGCTGAATTTCCCTGTTTCACTGAAGATTGGAATGGACTGAATGATGCAGACAGCTGAAAGCAGAAGGTCACCATCATTACAGAACACAGATAAAATACACACTTTCAGGATATTCCCCAGCTCTCATTAATTATATCAATTTTAAAGCATGCAGTAGGATGGAAAGCAGCGTAGCAGTTCAGCTGTGGAAGTCTAAGCACAGGCAACTTGCCTGGCTGAGACGCTGCTCTCATACACAACTATAGCCTGCAGGGCCCATGCCAGCAGTATTTACCGTGCAGAAATTCCCACAGCAACAAAACAGGCACAGTCTTTCCTGGCCTGGAGCTGGGCAATGCCCAAGCCTACTCCTGACTCGAACACGTTCTGACAGGTACAGTTACAACACATCTCTTACAGCGAGAAGCTGAGTGGTGCTATGCTTCTTCAATGAGTAAATACTAAATATAACCTAGACCTATGAAGACAGAAGAGCACACTGTAAAGCCCCTACTCCAGAGGGGTACAGCAGGAAGATGAGCAAGACAGTGCCCAAAAGGAAGACTTCTTTTCACATCAAACAGAAAAGAATACTTGCTGCAGCAAGAAAGACAAAAATGCTTACACTGGATTCAGCTCAAAGCAAGTGTCTGTTTATCTGTTCTGCTTTACTATTTTTAAGTCTAGCAGCCAACAACAAAAAAGGTTTTACAGGCCCAGCCTTGAATTCATTATTTATTAAACTGGCTGGTTTGCACCTACCTTCTGCCAAGCCTCCTAAGGGATAGAGAGGGATCCAGGCAGTGTAACGCAGCCAGGTCAGTGGTTTCCATTCAATACCAATGCACGAGAGCATGTAATAGGGATACCTAAAGCCAATTCAGTGTGAGAAGAAACAGTCACTGTTTAAAATGCAAGCTGCTGCTGGAATTAGTCTTGCATATATATATATATATATATATATATATATATATATATATATATATATGCTGTATAGCCCACATAATTCCTAAACACCTCGAGAATATTCCAGAAATGGTTCCTATGGATCATGATGGACACACCTTTACCTGGCACTCTATAGAACTAATGGATTGATGCAACTGCCTGGATTGCCAAACCGAGCTGCCAAGTACTTCTTGTGAACAAGAAACAATCCCGTGCAGCTCACTTAGTGATGGGAATTCAAAGCAACAGGTTGCCCTAGGTTCAGGGCAGCATTCTTTTCAGACTCCTTGTTCCAGCTTTTGGCAGATGGAGTAACTTAGGAAGGCTGCGACTGTCTGTGACTAAAGGAGATTTCACCCTGTGGGGCCCTGTGCGAGTGCTGCTCTTCCAAAAGGTACAAGATCTTTAAAGAGCTCTTGGGAACAACCCCACTGTTCTGTACAAACTGCTGGAAGAGAAATCCCACAAACCTGAACAGCTCAATGATACTCCAGAAGTAAAATATGAAGAACACCACAGGTTTGCTCTGCATTTCCTCTAAGCTTCCCAGGACAACAAACAAAATGAAGTTTCTTCCAAATATCTGGGTAAGAAAAACAAATTGAGGAACAGTCACACTCTTCACCAAAGGAGCAAGTGCTTGCTGTCAAAACCACACAGGATATCTGCTCATCATGTCTGGAACATGCTGAGCACATAATGAATTCTGCAGCTGAGCGTCTTGTGAGTATGCAATTTGCTCTGCATTTAGGTGCTGTCTGAAGGGTCTTAGCTTTAACCATCTATCCTCATTTTTAAGCACAACCAGGATAAGAAGGGCACTGGCTCCAAATCAAAATCACATAGTTTTCATCAGCTGCTTCCTGCTTTTGATGTCCTGAACTATCTTACCTAGGTGATGGAAGAAGACAGCCTGGCACAGCCTTGGAAGCATGGATTCCTGCTTCTGGAATAATACATTCTTTAGTGCAGTGCCAGTGAGGTTGTACCAGTTACACTGGGAGAGTCTTGACATTTAGGTAAAATAGAGATTTACTTTAAACATGGGAAGAGCAAGGAGAAGACAGTCAACATATTAATTACCTGCGCTACAGCGGGTAGCAGGGGTGATCTGACTAGTCCTATCAGTGAATTCATGATCTCCATTAACGCCAGGGTCTGACAGAAATACATCATGTCAGCAATGGTGTGAAATGTATCGTAGAAAGAATCTGTAAGACACAGGAAACCATTTCAGAGGACAGATGAACTTCCACGTTCAGGAAGCTGGGGCAGCAGCAGAGCTTTTGATAACAGGATTCGAGTTGTAGTTGATAAAAAACATGGTGCATAATTATGTAACCTCTTTATAGGCCTGATCCTGAAGTCACAGAATCAGGCCAGAAACAGTGCTCAAGTGCCCTGTTTCACACACAGAAGAATAAAGAGCTGTTTCAGCAATGACTTCACCAAAAAAGCAGCAGAGCTGGACCTCAATGGAATGAGTCGTTCTTCCTTCAAAACCAACATATTCCACCTGGCTCCTTTTCAAACACACCAACGCTGCAGCGAGAGACACTTTGCCCCAGCTGATTCCTTCAGAAGTGATGTTGGCAGAGTACAAGTACCATTCATCAGAATGCACAGCTGTGATGTACAACAGGACAGTATTTTCCTATCCTTGAGACTGTGATAGCTTTTAAGAGGCTTTTGCTGTGCGCTTGCATTTATGGTTTTATTTCTTAAAGAAGCCTTCCTTTAGGTTTCACTACTTTAAAAGGATTAAAAACACCACTAAAAGAAAAACCCCAAACAAAACCCCCAATGTAGATGAAAGTGCTTGTTACTTGCCTTTGCCCAGGATGAACAGTCGTACTGTCATGTTCACAAAAATCCAAGAGAATCCCAAAAACTGCACAAGATTATACATGATTAAGTAGCCCTTCTTCAGGTGTCTGAAAGCTAAAATCAATAATAAACACACCAGGTGAGCAGAGAACAGTGGCACCACTTCTGCAAAGAGTGCAGCTGCAAACCAAGTTCTCCATGGGAATAAAGAACCAGAGAAAGGGAAGCTATTGATTGCAATAAAAGGGTTGCTGTGTGCACTGTGGGGTCTGTTGCTTTTACCATCATCTAAACCTCACTTCTCAGTAGTTAGATTTTTAAATTCCTTGGAAACTGCAGTCTGTTTTTATTACATTTCCAAACAGCTCACACAGTACAAAGATCCCCCTCCAAGATGCACCAAAGCAGTCAAAATTGCTCCATGAGAGTTGAGTATGTAAGAGTGACAGAAGCCTTCTAAACCCCACCTTCCACCCTCCAAAGGTTCAGTTACTTACGGTCTTTTGGGACTCTGGATTCTATTTTCATTTTGTTAATCTTTTCTTCTTCCTTAAGATGAAGGATAAGGTTTTAAAGGCTGTTACTGTAATTAGCAAGTGATTTGTTAACAGTACTACTGCAAAGCTAGTGGGTTTAAAACTCTGCTATGCAGCCAAGTGCCAAAGGGTTTAAAACTTCACCTGCATAAACCAGCACTCATCATCCAGGAATTACAATACAGTAAAAGCTAGAGGGTGTTAACCCATTACCATGCCTTTCCTAGGGATTGTGTTGTGGTAATTAGATGCCTTTGCTGGAAAAGCCTGCTGCTTTCTGTGTTAATTCTCAGTTATTACTGCTCCTTAGAGCTGGTCCTTCAAATAGTTCATGACCCACCAGTGATATGAAGGAAAATGAGAACATCCAGCCCAGGCTCCCTGCCTGCCCTTCACCGCTGCTTTGTGGCTGCTGGCATTGCAGCAGCCCTTCCTCCTCTGCGCTAAGCTCGGGGCTGTGGAGGGGAACAGGGCAGTGTTTGTTATAAAACAGATTAGCAGAAAGGGGATCTCTTCAAGTCTTTTCTGAGATGGTCTCACACCTCCCTGCTGCAGTAAGCTGCTCCAGCTCACCATATGGTGGGAATGTGCCATCAGGATTGCCTTAGAAATCCAATCAAGCAATGCCTGGGATTGGCACGTATGGGCTCCATATTGAGAGGATCCTCATATGGATCAGGGCACAGGGCTGCTGAGGTGCAGGGCAAGGGGTGCAAGCTTTTGGCTGCAGGCCCTGGCCAGCACCGAGCAAGTTCAGGTTCACACTGCTGCTCTTTCTAGCCAGAGGTGTGCCTATTTCTGAATCCCTGCTTCCAGTTTGAACTGTTTAACCAATTCTGCATGGGATCTGTCTGAAACAGCAGTAACAACCAGCGTGCCAGACCACTCCAGGAAAACAAAGAACACAAGTTCAAGTGTAGGAGGACACCTGGGACACCTGTTCTTGCTTTGCAGCTGGCAGCACAAGCCATGCGTGCCCACAGGACTGACCTTCTCCTTCAGTTCCATTTCAGCATCCGATTCATCTAACCAGCGGTCAAAGTCAGGAGCCAGGAAGAGCGGGCGCTTCTCTTGCTTGGTGAGCCTCTCCCACCAGTTACTCTCTTTTTTCTGCACAGTGATGTTCAGCTGCCTTTGAGTCACCCTGCATACAGGCTGAGGGCAGACACAGGAGCACACATCAGCAGAAGTCCTACGAAACAAGCTCTGAGTTGATAACTTGACAAGCTCTCCTTATCAAGGAGGCAGGGATGACATGGACTGCTGCAGTACAAGCATCCCTCTGCTTCCCAAGGCATGGAAGCAAAGGGCAGCCCAGCTAAAGATGGCAACTCTGATAAATGTAGGATTTGATAAGCAGCTTGAAAACCTGTCCATGCCACACAGCACCACTGCATCCCACCACAAAGGGCTAGCACAGACCCTAGTGCTGTTCTTCCTCAGCAGAATTCATGGCCTTGGCTTTAGACCTTCTTGAATTCTGTGCTGTGAGCCACCCACTAAGAGCCAGTGGTAGAAATAAGACTGCCATGTGTCCAGAACAGGAGACCCTGTATGGCATCTGCATAACGGCAGCCCAGAACCTCTCCATCCTTACAACCCACTGCATTGTCACCTTGGGTGCCACCACAGCATCTCTCCACACCTTGAGCCTACACCAGGCTTCTCTGCATGGGACTGTCTCTCAAATCAACAGAAACTGATGCAGAAAAGCCATGAGCTGCTCTAACTGATCACGTCACAGCAGCACTGCTCTGTCAAGGCTGCCTGGATGCTCCCAGGACATCTGAAGGCTGTAGCTGTAATGTATAGCTACTAACACCTGGTCCTTGCCTGTCAGAGGCTCCAGCTCTCGCTGGTGGCCAGCCTGGCAGCTGGCACTGCACTCATGGTGCACATCAAAGCTGAGGGAGGAAATGGGCTGCAATGCTTCCTGGTCCTGGCCATCTGTGAAGTTACAGAGTCTGTTCTCCTCCAGTCCCTCCATGGTGACCCAGAGTGAGCAGACTTTTGGAAGGAGGCTGCTCTGCAGAGGCAAGGACTTGCCTTCCAGGCCTGGCTCACAGCACAGCCCACATCTGCCAGCACCAAGGACAAGTGGTGGGCACTTCTCCTCGCACTGTGGACCAGGCAGCTGCTGCTTTACAGGCCAGATGAAAAACTGGTGACCAGCTTCTGGAACCAGGAGATGTTCATTATCTGCCACTCAGCACCTGGTAGGAGCCACAAGACACTTCCCTGCTGACAGACCCTAGGAATTCACCCTCCAGCAGTCCCCTGCCTTGTTGAAGCAGCAAAGGTGAACGGTGACTCCCACTCTGCAGCTATCCCCAACAGTCAGCCAGGAATAAACAGCACAAATCCTGCACTGGGAGCAGAGCCTAGCGTTTTCCTGTGCCCCTAACAACTCCGAGAGGTAAAGACAGACTTTACAGCCACCTGTGAGTAATGTGGAGGGACTGCTCCTCCAGCCAAGCTCTCTCCTAGCGGACTACAACAGGAATTCTCTTATCAGACTACAACAGGAATTAAGGACAGATTTTTGCAACAGGAACCACAGCATATCTGTACAGGCAACCTAAGAAATCTGCACGAGCCAGAAGCATGAGCAGTTCTCATGACTTTCTTTTGCTGGGCTAAAAAAGAAGCCAAGAAACAAACATCACAGTGACACTTTGCAGCACAGTGTTCCCCTGCTCTCCAGTCAAGGTTGCACCAATGCATTCCTCATTATTTTGCTGCTTTGAATCCTTTAAAAGTCTGTAAGTGCTGGTTAACAATGGATACACGTACAGCCCTGTTTCTGTTCAAGCTGATCCATGCGAGCAGCAGCTCCAGCAAGGTGATTTGCATTAAGGCAGGGTGGTGGCTGAGCGCTGGGACAGAGGACTGCCACAATTGGCTTTTTGTCTGCAGTAGTCCCAGAGTCCCCAGGAACTTTACACATTTTCCTTCCAAGTCATCTTCCTTTCAAAAATCACTTTTTCCTTATGAGTTAGAAAAGTAAAAAATACCTACTTTAGGCTCAACTGGTTCTAGGAACTCGATCTCAAACTCGTAGATGTTGTCCCCTTTGGCACCATGACCCTGAGCTAAAAGACAAGAATGAACAGTCAGCATCAGGGTCCCAGTTAGGTTCCGCACACCCCATCTGCCAAGGACATAGAAATACTCCGTGGTTATTCACAGTGCTTCCCCCTGCACTGAAAGAGGAAACCCCACAGTAACAGGGAAGACACAAACAGCCCAAAATGTTGCTCGGAGCTGCAGTTGCTGGAGTTGGCAGCTAAAGCTGCATGGAAAAGGGTCCTCGCTTGCAGGAAGCAGTGTGTGAGATTCCCATAAGAAAGGCTCAACAGGCTGCTCATGGCTAACTTGAATCCAGCTGAAAAGCCACTGCTTTTCGGGATCCAGGCTCCACACTGATGAGCAAGTGCCCAGGGCAACTGGTGTCCATGGGGTCTGTGGGAGCACAATGTGAGGACTCCCAAGGGCAGGAAGCTGTGTTCGTTTCTCACTGACCACATACATGGGTCTTGTTCCTGGAAGGGCTATGAAAACCTGCACACCGAGTGTAATTCCCACCCTTCCATGGTGTAAACTGATCCTGAAGCAAACCCGATGTGCAACACACCCCTATCAAATGGCCGTGGCTGGGGCAGCACTTCCTAAACACGGCTTCTTAAAGAAAAACACCAAATAAATGAGGCAAACCCAAACGAAACCAGCCACAGCACATCCTCAGCAGTGCCTGGACAAGCAGACCAGCACAAGAACCACAATGTAGCTGCCTGGTGAAAGCAAACTCCATCTCTCAGGACGAGACCTGCTTTACCTTTTCAATACAGCGCTTGCTCCCAGCGCACAGGTTTGATAACAGCCGCAAACAAAGACTTTGTCAAAGGGAAAAACTGCTGTGAGTTATCCCTGGGTTTCAGCTGACCCAGGACAGCGAGGACGTGGGAAACAAGGACATCCTGCATCCAGGTCTGGGGGCAACAATGTAAGGACACGGCCCTGTTGGAGGAAGTCCAGAGGAGGTCATGGAGATGCTCCGAGGGCTGGAGCAGCTCTGCTCTGGAGCCAGGCTGAGAGACTGGGCTGGGTCAGCCTGGAGAAGAGAAGGCTCCTGAAGGGGAGACCTGAGAGCAGCTCCAGTGCCTAAAGGGGCTCCAGGAAACCTGGAGAGGGGCTTTGGACAGGCCAAGGGGAATGGCTTTAACCTGCCAGAGGGGAGACTGAGATGAGCTCTTAGGCAGAAGCTCTTCCCTGGGAGGGTGCTGAGGCGCTGGCACAGGGTGCCCAGAGAAGCTGTGGCTGCCCCATCCCTGGCAGTGTTCAAGGCCAGGTTGGACACAGGGGCTTGGAGCAAGCTGCTCCAGTGGAAGGGGTCCCTGCCCGTGGCAGGGGTTGGGACTGGATGAGCTTTAAGGCCTCTTCCAACCCAAACCATTCCATCACTCCATGACCTCCCCCGGTACCACAGGCGGGTAACGAACCCCGCTGTCACTGCCAGCGCTGTCGGTGGGTGCCCTTCACCACACACCCGCGCCTGCCTGGGCACTACCACCGAGCGCAGCGATGGGGGCAGGTCCCCCCGGCAGCGATCAGCACACCCCCCCCCCCCCCATTGGTCACGGCCCGTACCTCTGAAGCGCAGGACGTTGTCGACGATGCTGATGTCGGGGTTCTGCGGAGGCAGAGGCAGGGTTAGGCACCGATCGATCGCTCCCTCACGGACCCCCCCTTCCCCCCCCGGGCACCTGCACATCGCTGAGCTCCACTCGCAGGTACAGCTCGCGGTGCCGCTGCGCCCAGTGCACGTGCGGCCGCAGGCTCGGGCCCGCCATGGCATCCCTCCCCTCCCGTGGGCGGACCGGGGAGGGGGGGGGAGAGAGGAGAGAGGAGGGAGGGCTCCCGTGCGCCTGCGCGCTGCGTCCCGACCGGGGGTTGGTGCGCGGGGTCCTAGTGCGCGCCTGCGCGTTTCGGAGCTGTCCCTGGTGACACCCGCTCCTCCTCAGTGGCCCTCAGCGCTCCCGTTCTCCACCTCAGGGCCGTGGGTGTCCCCCCCCTCCGTGTGTCCCCGCCGCAGAGGTGCTGCCCTCAATGGCAACGACCCCGGTGAGGGAACGCGGCGGGTGTTTTAACGCTGAGGTGGCTTTTGGGCACTGTTGGGTCTCAGCGCCCTGCGGGGGCTTTCTGAGGTGCGGGGTGTCACTGTGGTAACCGGCGGCGGGGTTGACCCCGTCCTGCGCCCTCTGCGCCACAGGACTGCCCTGAGGGCGGCCTTGGGCAAGGACACGGCTCCTGGGATGTAGCCAATGGAGAATGGTTTGGGTTGGAAGGGACCTTAAAGCTCATCCAGTCCTAACCCCTGCCATGGCAGGGACACCTTCCACTAGAGCAGGGTGCTCTCTGCTCTCAGTGTCCCCTCTGGGGGGGGACACTGAGAATTAAAGCCATTCCTCTTGGCCTGTCCCTGCAGGCCCTTGTCCAAAGCCCCTCTCCAGGTTTCCTGCAGCCCCTTCAGGCACTGGAGCTGCTCTCAGGTCTCCCCTTAAGGAGCCTTCTCTTCTCCAGGCTGACCCAGCCCAGCTCTCTCAGCCTGGCTCCAGAGCAGAGCTGCTCCAGCCCTCACAGCATCTCCGTGGCCTCCTCTGGCCTCACTCCAACAGCTCCGTGGCCTCTTGTGCTGTTGCCCCAGAGCTGGATTAGGACTGCGGGTGGGGGGAGAATCCACTCCCTCATCTGCTGCTCATGCTCCTTTTGATGCAGCCGAGGCCATGGTTGGTTTCTGGGCTGTGAGCGCATGCTGCTGCGTTGTGTTGAGCTTTCCATCAACAAACACCCCCAAAGGCGTTCTCCTCAGGGCTGCTCTCAATCCAGACTCCACCCAGCCTGTGTTTGTGTTGGGATTGCCCCAACCCAGGTGCAGGACCTTGCACTTGGCCTTGTTGAACCTCATGAGGTTTGCACAGGGGGAGGCTGATAGAAAATGCTGTGCTGTTTGTAGACGCTGGCTCTATGCCTCAGCCTGCCTCTGAGCGGAGGATTTCCAGCCTCTGGGGCTGCAAAGCCATTGCAGAAGGTTGTGTGAGCTGTAGCCATAGTTTCTGGGTTGCTTTAGTTTGAACACAAACCCCATGTACTCTTAGGGGGCAGCAAACGGGAGACAGCACAGGAAAACCGTCGGGAAACACATCCATCGTGTCCCGAGGGGCTTTGACGTTTGCTTGTGTTGAGGAGGGAGCACCTGCTGCAGAGTTCTCTCTGCTTTATAGTGGATCAGAGAAGACCTTGGCTTTCACCTTTGCTTTGCAAAGGGAAATGCGAATGCACAGGAACGTTGTCCCCGGGCAGCCGGGGGTGCCCTGCTCTGTACACGCGTTGTCAGTGCTCGGGAATACTCTTGACGTGCGCGGGGTGTTACGCGCTTCCCCCCCCCCCATCGGCTCCCCGCAGCCCGGTCCTCCCGCCCATCAGGCGGCGACCTCGTCGGCACCCAACGGCGCACCGCAAGGGCGGCAGCGCCGCTTCCTCCCCGCCTGCAGGGAGCGCTGCCCCGCTTGGAGTGGCCCGGCGGCCCCTCCTGGCGGAAGCGGAAGTGGCCCGGCGGGGCGGCTCGGCTCGGTCCCATCGCCGCCGGGAGCGCCGTGAGTACCGGGAGGCGGGGGGAGGCTGCTTGTGGGCCCCGGGGAAGGCGGGAAGTGGCCTCCCATGAGCGGGGCCGCAGCCGCTGGAACCTTCTTGTGGGGCGGGGGGAGGACGGGGCCTGCCCCGGGGCGGGCTCTGGCTGTTCGCCTCCTTCCAGGCCGGCAGCAGCCCCCGGCGGGCGCTTCCCGGGACCTGTCCGCTCTCCCCGGCCGGGGAGGCAAGGGCAGCTCGCGGGTGCACTCGGTGTGGCGGTGCTGGAGGGTGCCCTGAGGCGCTGTGCAGGGCGCGGCAGCCCCGCGTTATTGGCTGCAGGGAGGTGGAAAAGAAACGGTCCTCGGAGCGGGAGGTGGCTGCGGCTCTCGCCCGGCAGTGATTCCCCAGGGTAGATCCTCGCGTTGCCCTGGGCTAACGCTGCCTTGCCGGGTGGCAGATGTCCCTCTTGTTTGCTCGTTAAAGTCTACTGTCCCGCGGGTTTTATCTCTTCTTTGGGGAGGGGCTGTGGGAAGTATGTCAGGTTAAGGCTTAACAGCGTCTGGGTGTAGGTGGGGAAAGGGGGTCTTTCTTTGTTGGAATTCTGATGTGAGTTTTCTGATGAAGGTTTGAAGTCTCATGCTCAGTTTCTACCACTGTCTGAGCAGAGCGCTGCTTTGTGTATGTGCTTGGACTCTCCTTCCAGTTTTACAGGGCTGCATATTTATGTTGTAAATAGCTCAGTCCATGTTTGTTGTGTTTGTAATCGCAGAGGTGGAATCATGCTTGCTCTGCTTTGCATTTAGCAGTTTGTGCTATAAAATGGGTTTGATCCAAGCTGTAGGTCGTTTCTTTTTCACCTGTCTATGCTGAGATATCTCAGCAGCTGTGCAGAGCTGCAGGAGAGTCAGTCCATGCCCAGCCCCATACCTTGAGATTTAGTGGTCCTTTAGTGCCTCTTTGCTCTATGGGAATGCTTTATTTAGTCTGTATTCTGTCAGGCCACCAAGCTCTGCTGTTCTGCAGTGTGCAGAACAGTTGTGCTGTTTTTTCCATTCTATATATAGAAAACCCCCTCCCTTTGAGGAATGACAATCCTTGGTCTCTCTGGTAATGAACTATGTGGAGGGAGTTTATAGCTTGGATCCTTTTGGAGCTGCCCGCAGATCTGGGATTTACAGTGGAAGGACTTGGTTTCCTCTTGGGAGACATTCCAGCTCAGATATACTTTGTGAAGGACAGCTGCCTGCAGGAAGAGAGATCTGCTAAATTAATGGCCTGTTTGGGAGGATAATACCTATGCTGCAGATAAATCTGTTTGGAAAATGCTTTTTTCACTGTGTCCCCTTCTGGTATTGCCTTACTTCTTATCTATACAGTATTTGTAATTATATCCCTGAGATGATGATAGTGATGATGGTTGCTAGACCCTTTCAAGCTTTGTTTGAAAGGAGATATAAACAAATCCAAGAAATTATAGGAAAATGATAGGAATAAGGACATGCAGTTTCCTAGGGCCATCATGTATGACCTGATGGCTCCAAATCAGCTACTGATGTCTCTTCTAAGCAGCTGGTTGTCCCATGTCTTACTACGGTCCTCCTCAGTCACTGCTCTGATACCAGTATAGCATTCGTGCAGTTTACAGGGAGGAAGAAGCAGGTAGGAGAGCTTAACAGGGAATAATTTATCCACTTCATGAATTGATCAGAGTAGTTGATGTGTGGGGGCAAGGGAAAGGCAAACAACAACTCTCTGTGGCTGTATTAAGTTCTTAGTCCCATTCTGAAAGACTGAGTGGTGACAGCCTGTTTTCCACAGCAGAAATCTCTTGCCTGGTCCTCCTCATTCTGCTGTTTTTTCCCCCCACATGAAATGATGATTTCCTTCTAGCACTTTTGCTGTGGGTTTGGGAGTCTGCTGGAAGGTGGTGCTGAACCTCTGTCGTTCTGTTCTTTCAGAAACATGCAACATGGCAGCAGCCATGGAAACTGAACAGCCGGGCCTCGAGATCTTTGAAACTGCGGGCAGAGAGGAGCAGGTCCAGAGGGAGGAGCAGCCCAAACTGGAACCTTTCTATGTAGAGAGACATTCCTGGAGCCAGCTTCGGAAACTGCTCACAGACACACGGAAGTATCATGGCTACATGATGGCAAAAGCCCCTCATGACTTCACGTTTGTGAAGAAAAACGATCCTGAAGGACCTCATTCCGATAGGATCTACTATCTGGGTAAGCTTGTTGTGACAGCCTGTGTCTTGACTGAACAGTCCCTGCAGAGGCTGTTTGGGTTTGACTGTTCTTGAGAGCGGGATGTTCCTGGCAGTTAAATCCAAATGGATTTCAGGCCAGATTGGATACTCAAATGTCATGATCATGATTTTGATGTCTCAGTAAAGCTTGGAATTCATCTCCCACAGAAATAGTGTGGTTGGTGGCTCTTCAGGCCTGTGAGAGCTGGAAAAGAACTGTGAAGTGTCCTCTGGAGCATGTTCCCTACCTGGGAGGATGGATTAAATGTGATCTCCATACAATATCCCCTCTCTAAAAGCTGTGTAGTTTTACTCTCCCTTTTCTTAACTGGTGGACAGAACCTTTGTTCTTCTTCAAAGTTTCCTTCCAAAGCAGGCATTCTGAGTGTAATTTTGCAAGTCCTTTGTGCCTCAGTTGCTGATGGAGTAGGTTTTTCAGGGATCCTGTGGGGACTAAATAGCAGTGTAGGGCAGAGGCAGCTTAAAGAGTAAAGACTTTTCTCAACATTTTTAGTCTTAATAATGAAGAACTTAATGTAATTTATTGTTGTTGGCCTCAGTGCATTCCTGTATTGTTTCACTATGTAATTTCACTTGGTATATCTGCATTTCTGAGTGCTAGAAGTGATTTGGCATGTAAATGGTACTGTGAACAACATTCCTGGTGGCTTTTTGGAGCAGGTAGAGGAATGCTTTTGTCGAAAGCTGCCAGAGCTGAACATAACTCCATGAACAACTGAGTTAGGGAGAGGAGCAAAGGCCTAGGAGCCAGAACCATGTTCTAACCCCGTTGCTTGCTGCTTAGGCTGGGTGTTTAAGCTCTGATTCGTGATTCACAGAATCTTTGCATGTGCTGTGCAGTGCACAGAAAGCTGCTGATCTGTCTCCTCTTCCCCTTTCAGAGGATAGGGGTCATAATCATAGAATGATGCTGAATTCAAGCATGATGAGAGTGGATGAAGGCCCAGCTGAGATGAGCTCTGGTTTCCCATGTGCCGATTCCTGAGCTATAGATCAGACTTAGCCTTCCTCAAGGCACATCTGGCTCCCTCTGGGCTGTTCCCATGTGCTTTGGCAGGAGCTTTCAGAAATCTGAATAGCACTGAGGGAGAGGAGCAGGAAAGGGACCTTCAGACCTTCCTAAAGATGAGTTATCTTTGAAGCATGAGCTGCTTTGTGCTGCATCCAGCCAGGGGAATTAGCAGAAAGGTCCTCCTTCATTTCAAAAGCTTATAGAAATACAGGGTCCCCTCAGAAGACACAGGCAGGCTTAGGCAGCATGGGGAAAGCTTGAGTTTAGTTTCATGTTCTCTGCCTTCTCTGGGACTTACATTTCTGTGAAACGGGGAATTCCCAGAGCAAGGCTGCAGTGCAGAGACCAGCAGTACTTTCTGGTGAGAAGAGCCTGTGAAACTGTTCCTGGGAATCCTTTGAGAGTGTTTGGATAATGAACAGAAAGCTAATTAATTTTTTTTCCCCTCCTCACTTTCACACCAGCAATGTCTGGTGAGAACAGGGAGAACACGCTCTTCTACTCTGAGATTCCCAAAACCATAAACAAAGCTGCAGCTCTGTTGCTTTCCTGGAAGCCTCTTCTGGATCTTTTTCCGGTGGGTCCCGATTTCTTTCTTGCTTCTTGGCAGTGTAGCAAGGACATGGGCTTTGGGGTTGCACCTATTTGCCGTTGTAAAAATTTGGAGTTTAATGTCTTAAGTTTAAGATTTTCCCTATGCTCAGCTAACTGCAGCCATCTCAAATCAAGCACGGCTTTCTCAGCAGTGTTTGGAGCTACAGCTTTCACTGCTGAATGATTCCTCCTTTGCCAGCACAGATTGCAAGTGCTAATTTGCATCTGATTCTCTGCTGTGAGATGCTGGGGATTGCTGAAGGAGCCTCCAGTCTCCAATAATCACTGTTGCAGGGGGAAGTGATGAGTCCCCCTAAGGATCATTCAGTAGCTTCATGACTCATGCTGGGGCAAAAGATCCCTATCCCACTCCCTTGGACGTGTATCCCTGTTTCACCTCTGCACATAGCAAGCCTGCACTGGTTCTGGTCCATGCACCATGGCAGGATGGAGGAGGTGTGACACCCCCCATGTGCAATTAGGTGTATTTATCTCCATGTTACTTCTGGCTGTCAGCCAGACCAGTTACTGTGTGTCTTCATGAAGGTTAGCAAAGACTTTCCTGCCCATTCTAGAAATAACAGACCTCCAGTTTGATCTTTCTTAAACCAGTGGATATGATGGAAATGATGCCGTGCTAGGGGAGAGGTGGCTATCAGCTTCAGAGCTGTGTAGGATCTGCTCATGGCCTGCACCTACGTGTGTGATACAGACATAAGCAGGAGTAGGCTTCTAGCCATGAGCAGGATTCTGGAGGAGAAGGGTGTCTGCAGAGCCATCTGCTCCTGGAAGCTCAGCGTACAGAGATGCTCTGACGGGGTAGCATGGCATGCAGAGCAGAGGTGTTGATTGTTGTGTTTGGTTCTCTGCCCTTATTCAGGCCATCCTGGACTATGGGATGTACTCTCGTGAAGAGGAGTTGCTGCGGGAGAGGAAGCGGATTGGCACCATAGGGATCGCCTCTTATGATTACCACCGGGAAAGCGGCACCTTCCTGTTCCAGGCAGGGAGTGGAATTTATCATGTAAAAGATGGAGGCCCTCATGGATTCACTGTGAGTTTGCTCATCCATCCTCCTATCTCACTGCAGGACTTCTTTGCTCTGGCTTGGATTGAAAGCAAAAGAGCGTGATCATCAGTTACTGCTGCACTCAAAAGGCAGCTAGCCTTGATAACCTTGAGCCAACCAAAGCCCAAAAGAAGGGTGTTCTTTCATGTAGTCTGGAGTCGCATCAGAGGCAACTTCTGTTCCCAGGCTGTGGTTTAGATGTCAGTGTTCAGCAGTCAGTGCTGTATGTGTTAGAAGGTTTGGCTGTATGGCTTGCAGAACAAGCAGCCTTTTCTCTGCTGGTGCTGAAGCTGGAGAACAAAGCTCCAATAATTTCTTATTATTGTAACAGATGCCTGATGTCTGTCTAACCCTGTTGTCAGGGGGAATTTACTGTACCCTGAGTTGCTTTTGGAGGACAAGATTGTATGTTCTGCCAGGCCCTAAAAGGGTGCTGGTTTTAAGAGTGTGCCAGGCTTCTCTAAGCAAGCTGCCTCCTGATCTGTGGCTAATCCTCAGCACTGGTGAAAGATGCTCTGATGGGATCTGTGCAACAACAGTGGAAACACAATTTTCCGTATAAAATACCTGCATAGTATTTTTCTGTGTTTAAAATTGATTTCTCTGTTGTAAACCTGTGTATTTGAAGTCAGTGTTCACACTACTGTGGTCTTAGAGATAATCCAGGTTAATTTCTGTAAGTGTTCTTGTGTTATCATTGCTTACTGTACTTTCCCTTTTTTCTCCAACAGCAACAGCCTTTAAGACCTATTCTGGTAGAGACCAGTTGTCCAAATATCCGCATGGATCCCAAGCTTTGTCCAGCTGATCCAAATTGGATTGCATTTATCCACAGCAACGACATCTGGGTATCTAATATAGAAACAAGAGAAGAAAGGAGGCTAACGTTTGTGCACCATGGTACTGCATCCTGAATTAAAATCTCTGCACCTCCTCTGCACTTGTTCCTGGTAGACTGAATTCAGCAGTGGCACTGGGGCTTCTGAAATCTGGGGGAATGGCCCCTGTTCATTCCACTTTGTTTGTCCTGTTCTATATGTTTCCTCTAGTGCAGATATCGTGGGATGATTCTGGATGCACTGAGGAATCTGGCAGAATGAGTTATTTGTTGAGTCCATATGGAAGGGCTCTTCTGAAAAACAGCACATTCCTTTTCACTGGAACAGCCTTTTCTTGTGTGGAGGAGCTGTGGGTGGAAAGTTTCTGTCAGGAAAATCAGGCTGCAGGGCCTTTTAGAGACAGCATAGGCAGATTCTGAATAGCACTGAGCCTTCTGCTGGCCCCTGATACTCAGTAACTTAGGTTCTTGCTTCTTGCCCTCTCCACTTGTGTTTCAGACATGTGTCCTGGAGGAAGGAAAATGGGAATTGTGGATAAAACTCTTTAAAAAACAGTGTTTTATTTTGCATTTAAATCACACTTTGTATTTAAAGTATCTAATTTAAATTGCAGTTAAATTAAAATTTCTGGCACTTTGTAATAATACTTCAGCCTATTTAAAAGTTAAATATTAAAATATTATGTAAGTACATTAAAAATAAACTGTAGCAGTGACTCCTTCTCAGATGATAATTATTTATGGAGCGCTGCTAAGTTACCTCCAGGGTAACAGGGAAAATATTGAAGCCCTATGGAGATGTCATCGTGTTGACATGTTATGTAAGCCTCTTACTTTTGCTTTGTGCAATGAATGAAATGCTGAAGCTTTCCTTTTTCTGAACGTTGATGTTGTCATTTAGAGTTGTTCAGAAAGGTTTGTGCTTGATTTTTCCTTTTAACTAAAGATTGCAGTTTCAATTCACTGAGCTCAGGTAGAGAGAACATTTTCTTTCTTCAACTAGTACATAGGAAATGGAGAGATTAGTTGGGTAGGAGTAAGAAGGGAGGATGGCTTTCCTTTCCTGAAAGAAGCTGCCATGTCAGAGAGGATTAGATCCTCCCTAAATAAATCAACAGAGCAGGGTGGAAGCAGAAAACAAATCTGCTGAGAAGTGATTTATTGTGTTCCTGGAGGGATGAACTTGGGTCAGTGTTTAGGATAATGCAGGACTGGTTTGCTTCTGCAGTATGTCATGATCTGATTCTTCTGTGTCTTTTTTTTTAGAGCTGGCAAATGTTGAGGATGATCCAAAATCTGCTGGTGTGGCAACTTTTGTGCTGCAGGAGGAGTTTGACAGATACACTGGCTATTGGTGGAGCCCAAAGGCACAGCCAAGTAAGTGTGGGGCATCCAGTGAGTCTGACAGGCACAAATAATGCCCCCCCCCACCCACTGTGGGTCCAGTGCAGAGTTAGTTTTTTCTGTTACTTTTTATGAAGATAGGAACTTTATCCTGTGGCTCCTTTTAAACTATCTGCAGCAGTGGGCATGTTACTGTGGGCTTGTGACACGTGTTACTTTCCTTCTTTGTAGGAGTCTTGGAGTATTTTGCTTAATGAAATATGAATCACAGGGTTTGGATTTTATTTCATCTTTCCAACCAGCTTGTGTTGCTGAGAGAATATTGATGCCTGCAATAACTGATAATGAGAGCTGTTCTGACCAGGAAAATGTTAATTCATTTACAGCACTGAATGGGGGGAAAATTCTTCGAATTCTTTATGAAGAAAATGATGAGTCAGAGGTGGAAATTATTCATGTCACATCACCCATGCTGGAGACAAGAAGAACAGATTCCTTCCGGTACCCCAAAACTGGTGAGACCCTGATACCTTACATCTCTGTCGCTGGGAGACATACACTCTGTTCCATGTGCCTGAGAGCAGTGATGCTCCTAGCCTAGAACAAGGGGTTGTTGGAGAGGTGTTGAGTAGTCTCTGAATTGGTGTCCAGGTGGTGAAAGTATGTTTGGGGAAGCTGCTGCTGGGGAGGTTACATTAATCACTGGTGACTGTGCTGATATTCCAGCCATGTGGTTACTAAGAGCTCCAAGTCTGGGTGTCTCGAGAGTTGGCAGAAACCCTCTCTGATTGTCACTATTTTGGAGCTGGTGTCTCAGATCCTGGCACATCTGAGTTGTGGAGGGGTTGGTTCTCATTACAGCCCTGTATCTCTGAGGAAATAGCTGCAGAATTAATGTCCGGAAGGACATTAATTGAGAGAAGGTTTCTGTTCAGCTGCTCGCAGGGCCCTGGCAGCTCAAGTTCTGAAGGACTCTGATCTCCATGATTGTTCTTGGACTTCAAAGAGCATATTCAGCATTCTTGCAGCCAACCAGGAAAACCTCCTATTGTCATATTTGCTGACAGTAAAAGGGTGAGGACAGGCTTAGAGCGTAGTAAATGTTGTGCCATTGGAAGTAGGGAGGTGAGACTTAAGCAGAACTGATAAGGGCGATTCACTGTCAGGTGTATGGGGCAAGTTTGAACAGTTTGACCTTTGTTCTTGTGAGATTTCCCTACTATTATAGCAGGGAATGTTGCTCACAGGTAACAGTGCTTTATTCTCTTTCCTCACAAGCAAACTCTTCATTTTTTGGAGAAATACCTTCTGTTTGGCGACCTTCCCAAGCTTCAGAATTCATTCAGGTCTTGCAGATTCTCTGATCCCCTGGGAAAAGTTTTCTGCTTATGATACTGATTTACTTGTTTTAAGAAGGAAGAAAAGCACAGTGTTAGCCTGGGAAGCCAGAGATGGCTCCTTGTGGGTTTTAAGCACTTGTGTACACCCAGATTTCTGAGATGATATTGTCATAGCTGAGGTGAATGCTGATTTCAGCAGTTTAGGAAAATGAGCCAGCCAAAGCCCAAATCCTTAAAAAAGAATATCCAGGTTTTAATCTTTGGGCCTCAGTTTCCAGTCTGAGCTGTAGGGACAATGGCCCTTTGCTGTGGGTTGTTATGAGGGCAAAGCTTGAGGCAGTGGAGAAAATTCTTCCTATGGAGAAGGTAAATGCTCAGGTAGGTAGCACTGGAGCCCAAGGCAAGTCGTTTCACCTCAGTGCATCACGTTTGTGTATGAAGCAGTTTGATGAAGTGGGAGTTCTCACAGCAGCACTGAGACTATTCAGAGCACATGGAACTTGCCACATGTGGCTTCTTGTGGATCACCAGCTTTATTCTTTACAGTCTCTCTTTTCTTCCTGTGAAGCAGGCCCCAGCACTTGGCACTGCAGGTGCTCTACAGCAGGATGACTTGCTGCTTTGTACAGGCTTTGTGTAAAGAGTTAACTTCAGATTTTCAGTGTTCAGCAGAAATACGTAGCTTTATTATCTTAACTGCACTAGTCATGGCAGTAGGTCTTTTAAGTGTTTAATTTTAATAAATGCTTTTTAGCACTGGATCACTTTGTGTGCCACCTTGAGAATCACAGCCAAACAATAAACCAGAGCTTGCTTTCTATCCTGATCACTCCTGAGCATGCTTTGACTGTGAGAGAGAAGACTGTGACAGTAGCATGGCTCTTAATCAGATCTATGTGCAGGATGAATCTACCTCATGTTTGCAGTTTCACTTTTCCCTGCCTGTACTGTCCCTCACATGTGCAAGTAGGCTATTTGATCAAAGAGCATTCTGCTGTTTGCCTTTTCCAGTTCTGTATGAATAACGCCACAATAATCCACAGTTCAGCTCTGCCCTCTTGGAAGCAAACAAATAGTGTCTGACTTCTAACATCTGTTTTATAGGTACAGCAAATCCAAAGGTCACTTTCAAGCTCTCAGAAGTGACAATCAATGCGGAAGGCAGAGTAAGTTCTATGTTCTGCTTGTGTTCCAAATAATTGTAATTTCTGTAAGTCTTTTTTAGTAAAGTTCGTTTTCCAGTTCAGTACAAATAAGCTTTCCTGGCTGTGATAGCTTAATGGCTTCTCTAGAGGCTGTGCACTTGCCTCACTCCTATGCAGATACTTGGTGTCTGTGTGTGCAGCAGTGTTTCTCAAGGCTGTGCTTTCCTTCCCTACCACTGGTTTACAAACTCAGCTGCAGAGCAGAATGTTTTAGGTGTGGATGGTTAGATTTTATGTGACAGATCTCTTGATTGGCTGCAGATATGGGGAAAATTTGCTTGCAAAGACAGTATCACCTTACATAAGTATGAGCATATGGAAAGAGATGAACTTTGCAGAATTTTCCACAGTGCAGTCCAAGATCTTCAGACAGTTGGGTAATTAATCTTACCAGATACAGTAATAGCCATATGTTATTGGGATTGTCTCTACTCTTGAGCTACTTCAGCCATCAACAGTCACCTGCTGGGATAGTGATGCTGATGTCAGCCAGCAAAGGCAGGCAAAGCCATTGGGACCCTTTGGGTACCACTGTGACTTGTTCCCAGTCCCAGCAGGAGCAGACTGCAGAGCTGCATATCATGAGTTAGAAGCATGCTGATAACTGGATGTCATGCAGGATGTTCAACAGCTGCCAATAAAAACACCTCACAAAACAGCTTGGTACAAATCACCTCCCCTTTACATGGGGAAGCTGAGTGTTCAAGTGACTTGTCCAAGACGAATGGTGGATTGGTGAGGAGCATCCAGATTTCCCAAGTCCCAGCCCTGGCTGTGCTTATAGTGTGCAGCTCTCCTATTATACTGGTGTCTGGCTAGAGATGGGGTTGAATCCCCTGTGTTGCAAAGGCCTCAGCAATCTAAATCGCATAAGCTGCACAGAAGAAGTCTTCTGTGTCCAGACTCATCATGCATGAAAAACTGGATGTGGGGGTTCATCTCAGTGTCACTGAATTGCTGCTTTGTCAACAGATTGCAGATGTTGTGGATAAAGAGCTAGTTCAGCCGTTCGAGATCCTCTTTGAAGGAGTAGAGTACATTGCTAGAGCTGGGTGGACGCCAGAAGGAAAATAGTGCGTATGTTAATCCTGTCTCTGCTTAGAGGGTTTGGGGCGATACAGTTAGAAGCAGAATGTAGTGGTCTCTGTCTTCTTCAAGCTTAAGCCTGCTTTCATTTTTACATTGCTACAAACTTGTTTGTGCAAGGGGGATGATTTTTCCAAATCCCAAACCGGAGTCCTCTTTGTCTCTTTCTCTGGTACCTGGCCCTATTGCTTTGGTATTGGGCACTTGCAGCCTTTGATGTATGTGTCCTCTCAGCATCCCTGTGAGAGAGAGTGCAGTGCTATTATCCCCATTTTACAGATGGGGAACTGAAGCCCAGAGAGGCTAAGTGACTTGCCATGGTCACACAGGAAGTCTGTGGCTGAGGAGAGAAATGAGCCCAGGTCCCCCAGGCCCTAGGCTAGCGCCTTAACCACTGGACCATCCTTGCTGACCAGACTTACTGATCAGAAAACCTGCTGTAAGTGCTACTTACATTTGCATGTCATTTTTAACCCTGTAGATGATGTAGTACAGTGTTTCTAACTCACCAGAAGCTTCTCCAAAAGGGTTTCTCACCAAAAGGGTTATCAAACACTGGAGCAGGCTGCCCAGGGAAGTGGTGGAGTCACCATCCCTGGAGGGATTTTAAAGATATGTAGACATGGGACTACAGGGACATGGTTTAGTGGTGGACTTGGCAGTGCTGGGTTAATGGTTGGACTTGGTGGTCTTAAAGGTCTTTTCCAACCTAAACAATTCTGTGCTTCTGTGATTCTCCAGAATTGCACTTTTCCAGTTCTTGAGTCTAAAGATGGCTTTCACCTTTTTCCTGCTCTCCCTAAAAATTGTGGAAGAAATGCAGGGAGACATTGGCTACATTATCTTGCTTTTTGCAGGATTATTGTTAGAGCTACATACAAAGCCATCAGAAGTATGGCAGGGTCTGCTGCCCATCCATTTAGGTGCCAGTGTTATTCTCTGCCAGGTAGAGATTGAAAACATCAGTATTTTCACAAGTATCCTCAAATTTCAGTTGAAATTTTTCTGCTTCATTATTCCCCTGATTTTTCTCTTCTCTTTCTCCCTTAAAGCACTATTCAAATCTGGGAGAACAGAATTAATTAAACTTTTGAACCTGCAGTGCTTATGCAATATTGAAATGAAGTGAAATAGGTTCTTGTGTTAGGGAAGACTTGTTTATGTGGGTAAATTTTACATGTAGCTTTGTAAGCCACAATCTGAAATGGAATGTTCTTGACTCCCTTATAATGCCTAGCGCTAGTTAGTGTCTGCTGAGATTTTCAGATCCAATACTTATAAGTGCACATTATTTTCTCTAATATCTGTCTCCTCAACAGCATCTGGTCCATCTTACTGGATCGCTCCCAAACTCGACTTCAGATCGTCTTGATCCCTCCTGCATTATTCATCCCTACAGAAGATGATGCAATGGAAAGACAGAAACTTATCGATGCTGTACCGGATTCTGTTACACCTTTCATTATTTATGAAGAAACAACAGACATCTGGATAAATGTAAGAATTTGAATTTCAGCCTTCTGTGATAGTTTGTTGTTCAAGACTCTGCTTGTAGCACCTGAGCAACGTTGGTGCTACTCTGCTGCCTAGGAGAATGTTCCCAGTGTGTATATTCTGTGCTTCCTGCTGTAAAAACCAGTATGTAGAGGACACAGGGATTTGGGATGTGAAAACAGCTGCTTTGAGGCTGCAGAGTGGTCAGACAGAAATAGGAGCAGAACCCACAGGGCTCTGGCGTTCCATGGCCACAGTGTTATCCACTGACACCTTCCAGATTCTTGGTGCCAGCTGTTCACCAACAGCAATGCCAGCAGATTAGGTGTCCTTCAGCCAACAAAGGTCTCTCTAGATGATATTGGGTGAACAAGTTCCAGGAGTCTGTTAACAGCCCCTAAAACCCTTTCTTAACTATGTGGTCTGGTGAAATACATTTGTATGTAATCCCCTGGAAGGTGTGCTGTGGGGCCTGTGCTGTGATAGCAGCCACCTGTATGCTATGCTAATGCTGTAAAAGTGAGTGCTCTTCACACCTCTGCAGATAAAGATCAATGTCTCTGAAATGACATCCCATTGGAGGTGTGCCAGGGTGCAGGAAGGCCTGGGAACACCAATCACTGACAGCTGGATCTTTCAGCAGAGCATTTGCCCAAAGCCTGGCACTAAATAGTCCCTATACAGCGAGTGCTCTCTGTGATACCACATTTTCTCCTAATAGTGTGCATAGTTTCAGGATGGTGTGGTGAATTTTCCTTTCTCCATTATTTTTACTGGCTGGAGTGTTTTCTGAGTGGCAGCTCATCCTGTGCAGATAAATGCTTCTGAATCACTCAGAAGTTTGTTCCATGAAGGAAGAGTTGGCATCTTCATGAGTGTGTAGGTGATGACAGCTCTTTCTTTAAGTAACCCTTCACTTGGGGGCTACTGGACAGAGGAGGCCGCTGAACTCTGGCTTCTCTGGGTGGGTCTCATGCTGTTTGCAGAGCTGGACCCACCTGTGTATCTAAGCTAGAAAGGCAGGTGCAGAAAAGCTCACATAATCAGTTTGGTGGCCAGAAGTTAGAGTTAGATGAGCAAAAAGCCTGGAGCTGTGCAGCATCCGTGGCTGCTGCCTGCAGACACCCCCAGGCTCATAAGCACAGCTGGTTCTCCCAGTGCCTGCACCCTGCTAGTGTGAACTGTGTTTAAGTTGAGCAGTGAGAGGAACAACTTATGTTGTGTTATGTGGCTTCAGTGCCAAAATCCTGCTGATAACAGTAATCCACTGCTTCATCTCCACAGATCCATGATATCTTCTATGTCTTCCCTCAAACCCATGAAGATGAGATAGAGTTCATTTTTGCCACCGAGTGTAAAACGGGATTCCGGCACCTTTACAAAGTCACCTCCGTTTTGAAGGAGAGCAAATATAAGCGGTCGTGTGGAGGCCTCCCTGCTCCAAGTAAGTGAAATCATTGTTTTGAGTTAGTTGGGCATTTGCTGCGAGCTAGTGAGGAAATAAATGTCCTTCCAGCTGGCAGGAACTGTTATCTGATTGGAAACTCCTGCTCTTGTCCAGGAAAGCACTTCAGTGCTAGTCATTCTTGAGATTGTCCAGGGGTGATGTTGCATTTAGTGTGCTTTAGATTGGACCCCAGTTCTTTCTTAGGGATTAGAGGGAAAAGTTTCAGATGGGAAGCAAGGTCCCTGTGATGCTGTGAAATGCACTTTGTTGGCTTTTCCTTGTCAGTGTTGGGACTGCCTGTGCACTGACTTTGCCAGAGGTTAATCATTATAGCAATAACATGGATGTGTCTGATGTGCTGGGTCCAATGTATCTAACAGAGGCACAGGGCTCAGTTTTCCAGGTAAACACACCGCAGTCCCTGTCAGCCTTCACAAGCAGGTTGGTAGCAGAGAGGCTGACACACAGCATGGTTTGAATGCACTGCATAAAGGTCTGTAGAGAGCCTCCCTCTCTCAGTGGGCGCACATCTTAGTCCCTTATAAATGAACACGTGCCCTTGGCAGCGAAACCTAAGATATGAGAACTATTCAGAGAATTCCTCTCTGCTTTTAAACCAATTGTGGTATTGCTGCGTAGACAGAGATGTAGGTAGGAGAAAATTACTGCACTGGAAATGCAGGAAGAGCCATTTTAAGCAAAAACATCAAGGACCACGTGCTTCTGAGCTGCAGTCAGAGCTTGGTCTTGCTCAGATGAGGGACAAAGCTGTGTGCAAAGCTCCGGAGTGGTTTTTCCACAGCATGTATTCTTTAATTTACAGTTTCATGCTGTGATACTTTAATTTACTTGTGTGTGTGTTGAAGGCAGTTGCTGAGCTCTGCATGCACAAAAAACACACCTTATTTTACTCGAGGTCCTAGTTTTATGCAACTGTTCTTTCGAGTGGGATTTTTCCCAGATAACATTATATCCTGGTTTGATTAGGTTTCTCTGAATGTACCTGACTCCTTTTTCTTGCTAAATCTCCCTCATTCTCAGGGAAATGAGACTATCTTGTAAAAGCAGAGTTGTTCCCCACCCTGTTTCAAAAATCCCTGCTTTTTAGTTCCTGGGATTCCCTTTGCACACCCATTTTTCATATAAAAACCTCTGTTTCTGTGCAGGTGACAAAAGACTTCATAAAAAAGCTGTCCAGATCTCAGGGTGAACCTTGTGAATCCTTTAACACCTATTTCACACAATGTTAAACAGTACTAGCCCTAACATTTGTCTGGGGAGCTGGCAGAGATGTGGGTCTTCTGCAAAGGTACATTGCTCCTGGGTTTAGTCTGGTAGAAAAGCTTGGAAGGAAGGAAGCATTATTGTGACCATGTGTTTTGTAAAATGTAAAAGTGTAAATTCTCTCTGTTGGTTGCTTGCAGGTGACTTCAAGTGCCTCATCAAAGAGGAGATAGCGATTACCAGTGGGGAATGGGAAGTGCTTGGCAGGCATGGATCCAATGTAAGTCTCTGCTCTTACTGTATCGATGCTCTACAAACAAAACACACTGCAGGGGTGATCTCTTGGACCTCACAGATTGGTACATGTCACATTAGTGAGGCTCTGCTCCCTGAGAAGAGTGGACCTTGCCACTCCCTGATACTGAGTTTGAGCATTTGTATCGTGGGGATTTTTGGTATGCAGTGTGCTTTCATCCTTCTCTACCTCTGATGTGCTATTCTGGACCAGAGGTTGTAGGTTTGGCAGCGTGGGAAAGCAACACAGGCAACAGCATTCTTTTCCTGCACATTCCTGTGTGGATCCTTGTCAACAAGGAATTTTCCCCACCAAATTTAAGGCTTAAAGAGAAGGGAACAAAAATACTGTGAGGTATCAGTGAGGAAATTCCAGGTTTCATGAGCAGAAAGACATCATGGTGGTGTCCAACTACTGTTCTGGAATCAGCAGATACTCGTTGGAGGGATCAGCACAAATCCGTTAACCCCATCTCTTTTTAGCTACAATACAGTGTTTATGTTCCATGGGGACAGAATTATTTAGCATAGGAAACAGAAGGGGAGACTGGGAAGAGTAAAGAACCTGCATGAGAGAGCTGAGCAGCAAGGCATGAAGTGCAAATCATAACTGTCAGAGTTGTGTACGGTAAGAACAGTCAGTTGGCTTATTCCTTTCAGATTGGCTCCAACTCAGCTGTATGAGGAGGGGCCGAGGAGGAGACTTGGAAGCAGTAGAACTGGGTATTGTTTTGGCAAGATGCAATATTGAGGGATGTGTTGTTTGTTTTGGTTTTGACAGATCTATGTTGATGAAGCCAAAAAACTGGTGTACTTCCAAGGCACAAAAGACTCGCCTTTAGAGCATCACTTGTACGTTGTTAGCTACGAGAATCCAGGAGAAATAAAGCGGCTGACGGAACGCGGTTACTCTCACGCTTGCTGTGTTAGCCAGGTACCTGTCTGTCTGTGAGGCCCTAATAGGCAGGGCTGGCTGGGTGTGCTGTGGCTTGTCTCCAGTCTTGTCCTTCATCAGTCAGCAGGCAAGGCTGTATTTGAATGTGACAGAAGCTGATTTTACACTGTGTTGTGTGATCCTGTTTATTGTACATTGAGTGCATAAACCCAGCCTGGAAACTAGATTTGACCTCCCAGTTCAGTTGCTCTTTATCTCACTTCAGGCAAAAAGAGCCAGGATGAATTGTTTGAAGCAGTTTGAGCCTGACTTTTCCACCTGAAGTGGGCTATAGAGCAATCACCAGAAGAGATGAGCCTGTCACTGGGTAGGGTTCCAGGCATCTGGGGCAATAGCCTGTGCGGCTGAGAATGCTTTACCCAGAAGAGGATGTGTGACAGGGTTCTCATGCAGCTATTAGTTTTGTAGGTGTAAATTTGGCTGAGTCTTGCTAAGGTCTGTAGCTTCTCAGAGTCTATCTGCTGTTATCAGAAGTGCTCAGACTTCCTGGTTAAATTTGGTGCATAAATACCTTCTAAAAGATTTAAACGCAGGAAGAAATGATCACTTTGCCTCTGCACTGGGGAGCTCAAGGTAATGTTCTTTTTCTCCCCAGGACTGTGACATGTTCATCAGCAAGTACAGTAATCAGAAGAACCCGCACTGTGTGTCACTTTATCGCCTGACAGGACCTGAAGATGGTGCAGCCCACAGGACAAAGGAGTTCTGGGCTACCATTTTAGATTCAGCAGGTAAGGGCATGGATGAGGAACTGGGAAAGGACAACCAGGATCACAGAATGAAATATCCCAGAATATACTTGCTTGAGATTTGCTGTTGTAGGTGACTAGACTTGTCTCTGAAACTCGTGCTTGTGTGAGTTCTTGGAAGCACAGGAGTGGTGTTTTCAGGTCAGCAACAAATGGGTATAAACTGGTCATGAAGGAATATAGAGTGGAAATTACCAAGTTTCTACTGCCAGAACCAGTTGAAACTGCAGACAGCCAGTTTTAGCATCAGGGGAGGGGGTTAAGCACCCTTATTTACTCTGTGCAATATGCCTGCTGATGATCATGCTTCTGGGAAGGAGCATACACTTCTGAAATAGTTGTGTGCTGCTGCCTACTAATGTCTTTGTGAGACAGCTCTTGGGCTTTTATTTGTCCATTGTATTTCTGTTCCCTTTCATCTCTCCTTCCCTGACGCATACTCCATATCCTGTGCCTGTGCTTCCCATTTATTAATGAGATGAGTCCTAAGTGGGGTTAGGAAAGGATGGGATACTTGTAATGGCCATGTCAGGGGAGGAAAGCCACTACCATCCATAGGAGTGCAGGGATGGAATGGGATAGGACTGAGAAAGCTCCCCTACAGCTGAGGCATTCCCAGTTTCTGCCTGCTCCCAGCCACATCCACTGAAAAGTGTGGGAGGGCTCCACTGGGATTGCAGGGAGATTGGTGATCTGGCAGAAGCAGAGCTGCCTTATGCATCCATTCACTTTTAAACCAGGCTCTTTGTTCCCTCCCGTGGCAGGCCCTCTTCCTGATTACATTCCCCCAGAAGTGTTCTCCTTCGAGAGCTCCACAGGGTTTACACTCTATGGGATGATGTACAAACCTCACAACCTGCAACCTGGAAAGAAGTACCCCACTGTGCTCTTCATCTATGGAGGTCCTCAGGTGAGTGCAGAAGTTAGGGAGCAATGGGGTAGGCTGGCCTGGATCACTCCACTGCTCTCCCTAATGAACAGTTCCTGCCCCATGCTGAGGATAGTGTGTAGCATTTGCCTCTTTGGTGAGCAGCTGCTTTGCCAAAGTTGTTGTAAGCAGTCATGATTTCTGGGTCATAGATTGAGGCACAGCCACTTGTCTGAGAACAGGTGTGGAGCAGCAGAACTACATCTGGGAGAAAGAGGAGTGCAGACAGTCCCTGTTTCCTTTCAATCTCCTCCTCCTCCATAGGGATCTTGTCCTTTGTTTCCACTTCCTCGTGTATATGTGAGGGGAGCACTCTGTCAGCACTGACCATTACCAGTGTGTGCTGAATAGAAGATGAGCCCTTTAGCCCTGCTTTGGTTTCCCCAGCTCTACTGTGCACTGCTGTGGTCAAAGTCAGATCGCGTGAGACCTGGTGAAGGGAAAGATTCTTCTCCTGGGAAAGATCAGAAAGAGCAGAGCTGAAGGCTCAGGTTTGGGTCATGCAGTCAGCAGCCACCCCTCTTGCTCCATGCCCATTGGTGCTGCAGTGGACCTTAGTTCAGCTCTTCAGATCTGTGACACAGAATGGCTTGTTACTGTGGGAAAAGAGTTTATTTCATAGCAGACCACAAACGGGGAGAGAGCATCCTGCAACAGAGAGCAGAGATCTTGAAAACTTTATGTTATAAAAATGTACAAAACATTTGAAGGAAAGTAAATAAAGTCTGAACTTGGATTAAGAGGGGAACCTCTGGATTCCATTACGTGACATTGCTGCTCTTCTATTCCAGGTACAGCTTGTGAACAATCGGTTCAAAGGAATCAAGTATTTCCGTTTGAACACTTTGGCCTCTTTAGGCTATGTTGTTGTTGTCATTGACAACAGGGGGTCCTGCCACCGAGGCTTGAAGTTTGAAGGAGCCTTTAAATACAAAATGGTAAGTGGGGCTCTGAGTCTGGCTCTTCATTTCTTTGTGCTGTATTTAGTGCCTTATGAGGGAAAGGGGTCATCTTTCTGTAACAGCACAGTGGCGTGCTGGTGTGCGGTTGGGTGCTGCAGGAGTGGAAGCAGCAGAGCTCTGAAGGTGTTTACCTCTGGAAAGCCTGAGAATAAACCGACCAAAACTTACCTCTTCCTCTCCTCTCCAGGGACAAATAGAAATTGATGACCAAGTGGAGGGGCTGCAGTATTTGGCATCACAGCATGACTTCATTGATTTGGATCGTGTTGGCATTCATGGCTGGTCCTACGGAGGCTACCTCTCTCTTATGGCTTTAATGCAGAGGTCAGATATCTTCAGGGTATGTTCATACATTGAGTACTTACTCTGGTGATGCAGACAGATTTTTTCCCTTAATCGTGTAACCTCCCATGGATGTTCATAGCACAAAGACACCCCATTCACCGGAGCACAGAAGGATATTGCCTCTCTGGAACTGTGTAAGAGAGTTTTAAACTGTTGGACTGTTGAGCTTGCAGTAACTCAGCTGTGCTGGTATAGCTGTACCAATCTTGGGTCACCTATGCAGAAGGTACCTTATATAGTATCAGCTGTTGCCAGCTTTGGGTCTGCCAAGCTCTTTGTGCCTGCCAAGCTCTTTGTGCTTTGAACCAGCTGAGGGAAATGATCCTGCTGAAAAACGAGACCTCTGCTTCTCCTCCCCTCTTTCTTGCCCTGAGAGAATAGTCTCTTTGCAGCCTCATCTATTCCAGATCAAATTGCCCATGCTGCTTTGTAGCAGTGTGTTCTGAAGCAGCCAGGAGGGCAGCCTGGACATGAGGAGAGATGCTGAAAAGAGGTTCTTGTGATTTTGTGACTTTAGATCACTACAGTGAATGGCCAGACTGCTCTTGGACAGGTCTCAAAGATAGATGTGATAAGAGCTGGATATTGCTCTCGGGATGGGTTTTGTTCTTTGTGGCTGCTCTTGCTTTCTCTAAGTCCAACCTGAATATTACTGGGAGGTTGAATAATTAATTGTCTTAGGATTATTGCCTTGCACAAGGGTTTATGGTGCTTTTTCTTCTTCTCATTGGTCTTTCTTTCACAGCCTCTCTGCAAGCTGGTGGTGCAGAGTAGCTTGCTGAGTCCTAGGGACCTATTGATCCCAGTTTCTGTTAGATATTCAAATGAACACAGGTTTTGCAACATGAAACCAGAGCACTCTGCTTTTTGGACAAAAGCACACGTAGGTCAGAGCTGACCTGTGCTGATACGTATGAACGGTGGCAGGGAGAACAAGGGTTGCTTTTCTTTTTCCACTGCAGGCTGTGCATTGTAAAGTTACCAGTGTGTTTTGGGTAATAATAGTTGTACTGGGATAGAGCTGTGGGAGGGAGGGACATCCACACATCGGGGTCAGGCATTCTCATTCCCCTCCCCATGCTGAGAGAGCCCTGTTGAACTTGCAGGTTGCCATTGCTGGAGCACCCGTCACGCTGTGGATTTTCTATGACACTGGTTACACAGAGCGCTACATGGGCCACCCGGATCACAACGAGCAGGGCTATTACCTAGGCTCAGTGGCCATGCAGGCGGAGAAGTTTCCTTCTGAGTAAGTTTGGTTCTTGCTTCTGCTTTTGCTACCAGGAAAGTTCAAGCCCCACAGACACGTTTTTATCTCCTTGTTCTTGACAGTTGAATCCTGGAATCACAAATGCTAATGCACAGATAATAATTAAAAAGTAATAAATACCAAACCCCAACACTAATAAACTTAATACTTGAATGAACATTTGCATAATTACAGGCAATTCCATTTAATCCTTTTTTATACTAGCTGTAATTAAAAACTATCTCGTATGTCTAAAGAAATGACAAACCTATCTTCAATTATGATTAGCACTTCAGAGCCACATTAAGCTAGATAAAAAGTAGTTATCAGGATGCTTTCTGCATGGTTCTGGGATGCTCTCTACAAATGTTTGTCTCTTGCTTTTCTCAGACCGAACCGTTTGCTGCTGCTACATGGATTCTTGGATGAGAATGTTCACTTTGCACACACTAGTATTCTGCTCAGTTTCTTGGTGAGAGCTGGGAAACCATATGATTTACAGGTAAGGCCAGAATCAGGATTTAAAGGTGATGTGTTTGTCTTTGAGGAGTCCAGAATTGGAACTTGTAACATGGCTGTGCTGGACAGCTTGGAATTCTGGGGTAAAACTGTAGGATTTGAGCCTTACATTTTTTTAAAAGGAAGATCTTATGAGTAAACAAGTGAAAATATCAGGCAAATGAGCAGTTAAGGCTTCTTCTGCAGTTAAGGCAGTACAGCAGTGTTCATGCAGTGTGGAACTGGGTTATGCTTTTAATTAAACCTGGTTCTGTGCAGATGCAGCCCAGCTATCCCACACCGTGCTGCAGAACTGGGAGCATGCTGATTTATATAATGGCTTTGAACAGGATCTGCCTCTATTCAGGCAGGCTGATCATCTCCTGCACAGCACCAGCTGGATGGGAGGGTGCAGTGGGGTATCTCAGGGTTCAGGCGCTGGAAGATGGGGTGTATTAGCCGAGGTGCAGAGTTAATGCAGGAGATCACATGAATAGTTTGAATATGGTTTAAATGTTGGTGCCTCAAGCTCTTATCAATACTCATGATTTCATTTTATGTTTTAGATCTACCCTCAGGAGAGACATAGCATAAGGGTGCCCGAGTCGGGAGAGCACTATGAACTCCACCTCCTGTATTACCTGCAAGAGAACCTGGGCTCTCATATTGCTGCCCTGAAGGCAATGTAACTGACCTCTGCAGAACTCTGCTCCACTGGCTGCTTCACCAGACAAGGAGACATAGGAAACTAGAGAAAGTAGGATGGAATATTGCATTCTGGTGCCTGCCACATGTACACACACGTACACACACAGACACTTTTTTAAGAGCAAATTTGGTGCCATACAGGAAATGAAAGTCCAGTGACCTGATAACTTGAAAGCTTAAGCTGGAAATAAAAGCAAACGTCTGGGGCATGACACAGTATCATGAGTGTTCTCTTGGGGGAGGAGCTGAAGCTGAAACCAACGTACTTCTACAGCACCAGATCTTCACTTTTTAAAAGAATTATGACACAATTGATGTATTTTTACAGTGTGTTCCTTGGTATCTTATTACATAATACTGGATGATTTACTCAGTACCCAGCAAGGGTTTACGTGAATGGTTCCAACTTGTATTACATTTTAAATGCTATCATATAGCTTTTATGCTTCGTGACAGGGATGTGTCCCACTCCTTAGAAGCTGGTCACAAGGTAGACGCATCACCTGTCCAGATGTTAATTGTTTTTTAAGAAGAAAGACTTCTAAGCTGCTTCCTAAGGAATTGAATTTCTGGATTCAGTTCAGCTGATGCCAGGTTCTTTTCAATGATTTCTTCTCTCCCCAGGATAAATCATACTCTTCTTTCAGCAGCTTGAAATCCTATCCTGATCGTACTTGATTTCAGTGGGGAAGTGAAAAGATATTTTACTGTGATACGGGCATAACAATCTTTTATTCTGACATGCAAACTAACGTAAGTCAAAGAGCTGAAACTCTGTACATTTTAAAATAAGCTTAAAAGTGCAGCTCATTTCTCACTGACATTTTCCCTGGGGCTGGTTTTGTAATACTGTTTCTTCCCATCACGTCAGCATGATATAGGTATATGCATCCTGTTACAATTTTAAAACTCAGTACTCTCATTCAAAGGTCTACAGAGGATTTGGGGAGGAGAGACCTTGTGAACACTACATGTGAGGCAATATGAACTGCTTCATTGAATTTCCTGCTTGATTTAAGGGACTGTTTCCCAGGTTTGTTCTCTGTTCAGTGCTCCATTCCTGGATCCTTTCTACCACTGCTGTGTAGCATGATTATGATGCTGTATTTGAGAAACCCCCTTCTGTATAGCTTAAAGTAACCCTGCTAAGCCTAAAGGATATTCAATCCCAGTTGTGTTTTTGCTAGTGAGGTTTTAACTAAGCAGCAGGCTTGGCTAAAAAGCATCATAAGTGTGTGAAGTCACTTTTAACTTGCAACAGGTCGTTTAGGATAGAAACCCCATAGCAAAATGATTCTCTTTAATCCAGGAAATTCTCCCCTTGGGGCTTGCCTCTGAGACTCCTATAAGTTTTAATGGTTTTCTTAGAAACCTAAGAACTTCCTTTTCTTTCTGTTTTGGTGCTAGAGAGAAGCAGAGCATGATTTTCTTTTCATCTTTTGAAAATCTGGAATCACTCTCAGTGTTTACGCTCTTAGTACTCCACATGTTGTAACCTTGTATTTTCCTTGCTTTTGTACTCTTCAGCTTGATCCCAGGACTCCAGGATTTAACACAACCTGGCTGTTTTGTATCAAACCGCATCGCTTTTCAGTTAGGCTGCTGGGCATATGCACCAAAGCTATTGGAGCTGGTGCACTTAACATGGTTGTAAAATCTGTGTATGAGAATAGGATCTGGGCTTTAGGGGGGGTTACACAAAAGATAGCCAAAGCAAACGGGCATGTAGTAAATGTGAATATCCTCCGAGGTGGGGATGTTTGGTTTGGGCTATTTTGGATCACAGTAATTATATGTGGATCAGTTAAAACACCATTAGCAGGTCAATAATAGGCTTACAGTTTTATTTTTGGGAAGGGCATGGCAGGGAAGGAGCCCAGCTCCTCTAATGTCTACTCCTAGTAGTTAATGTGGCTGAAGTGAATTCAGCATCCCTATGGAGTGTGCTCTAGTCAGTATTGAGACACGGAAATGTGCTGATGCATTTGAACTAGAACAACATGACAGTGAGTAGAAACAAGTATAAGCTGTTACTCTGGAATTCCATTGTGTTCCTTATGTGTTTATGCTGTATTATATATATACATATATCTATATCTGTTTATATATACATATATGTATAAAATTACACGTGGATAGTATCACCTTTTCCAAGGTTGTTTATATTTTGTTCAATATTAAATTAACTTGCTTTTTGGGGTGTTTTTGTTCTTTTTCTAGAGGTAACTACCCTTCAATGTAAATGTATATGGTTTTTAAGATGACATTGATCCTTTTGTTTAAAAACCAGAACAAAAATGGCCTTCAGCAAACAGTGCTTTTTTGGGGAACTGAAGAACTGAATGTTATGCAAGTAAACCAGGCTAGGTTTTGATTTAGCACAGGATGTGATAAGTGCTGACATGGAAATTTTTAATGATGCATCCTTCCATTGTTTTAAATATATATATATATCAAAAAGCTATTAAAGTACAATGTACTGTAAGTACTCTATTTTGCAACATAAATTATGTATTTCTTTCTATCTTATAGTTTTCCCTTTATAGTAGTTAAGCACTTTCAGACTCCACATTCTCTTACCCTGTGGAAACGCTGCAAGGACTTATCATCAGTGTTGCAGAGCTGCCTGCCTGTAAGTGAAGGTGTGAGAGATGCCTTATGAGAGATCTGATTTGCAGTCAACAACTGAGCTCCCAGTGACACAGGAAGAAGGGCAAAGCCAGTTGCAATTGAGATGCAGAGGTAGGAAACTGTTAGTGCTCAGGACCATTGCATCAGTATTTTTGGGGGAGTAGCAGTCCTGCACCTTGTATGCTGAAGTGTTGGTCTGGTACTGGACCAGAGCTGGCACAGAGAGTGGTGGCTGCTCTGAGTACCTGCTCTGAGGTTGTACTTTATAGTCCAGGAGATGGTATTGTCACTGCAGAAGAGGTTTCCAGCCTGTTTTGACATTTGAGATTATGCTTTGCCACTTCCTGCATGTTAAAACCTACTTTGGTTAATGTGAGTTTTAAGCAGAACTACTGAGATCCTGGGGGAGCACATGCAAGGGAGGCTGGCTGTAGAGAAAAAAATGTGTGAGGAGGAGCCATCCCTATGGCTCTCACAACAGACGTTGATGGGTCCCGTTGGAGGATATTCTGCCTTCATCAGAGCTGTCCTCTATGCCCAGGGGTATACCTGCTCCAAGCAGGAGCAGGATTGAGCCTTCCTTGCATGGTGGATATTTGTTGCACAGATGTCTTTGAGATGAATGTTTTAATTTCATATATTTTTAAGAATATTTATGAACCATGGGGATCTGAGCAATGAGATACTGAACTACTTGAGTGCTGATGCCAGCAGTTTCTTCTCATTTGCAGTGGCTGGGTTTGTTGTGCTTGTTTCTGGTGGAAGCACATTTAATTCACCCTGTTTTAATGCAGCTTCCAGCAATTCCTCTTGAGTGTGCAATGTGCAAAGCTGTTGGGTTTCACCCTTCATGTTGAAGTTTTACTCCCTGCCCCCCTTTGTCTTCAATTACTTCATTTATTCAGAACAAAGTATAATTAGTATCTACCCAGAACTGCTTAATTTTTATAAACCCAATGGAATAATGAGTTCAAAGCATCAAGTAAAGCATTGAAAATCAACTAACTTCATTAGATTAGAATGGAAAATGCATTCCCTGCTTACTGATGGCATTTGGGAATAGGCAATGGAAATAACTTTGGTGTTGTAATGCTTTAAGCCTGGAGCACTATACAGCAGATTATGGAAAAGTTAAACTCTGAGCCTGGGGATCCCAACCTTTACTTCCTACCAGGAGAAGTTTGTGCTGTGTGTTCGTGTGTGAGGCAGGCTGGTTTGCTGCTGATGTGAGATTCAACTTCTCAATGAGGCAATAATAGAGTATAAATACATGAAATCAGCAGCCAGATTAGGACACTGCCTTGAATTGCCTGTTTACTTGAGTACCAGAACCCTGTAAAGACCTATGTGCCCTTTAGGCTTCTCCAGGCCGCTCCTTTGGAAAGGGAAAAGGTCCTCGTGCAATCTTCACTTGGATGTTGTGCACAGGAGAAGTTCAGGTGTTTAAATTTAGAACATGAAGTGCCTGCTGTTTGCGTTACCAGAATTGCATGTCTCACTCCAGTGGGTTTATTGGTCTCCCTCCCTCCCTCCCCTTCCTAGCTCCATGGCTTTTAATCATGTAAAGTGGAGGCATTAGTTTTGCTGCGTTTTATTACAAAACCTTTGTTGCAATAAAGATGCTGCTAAATAAATTGAATTAAATGTTTTTTCCCCCTCCCCCTATTTTCAACTGTCTCTCTTCTTGATTTAGCAGAGTTTGTGTGTAATTGAATCTCTTCCCTCATTGCTCTCTGGAAAGCAGCAATGATGGAAAATGAGCGGTTTAAATACGTGTTGGGTGTTCAGCAAAAGCATCTGTGATTTTTCCAGTCCCTTGTGGTTAGGTAGATGGGTACAAAGGAGGATGAGGCATTTGCTTGGCAGAACTACATTCCCCCTCCTGAATGTTTCCATGTGGATGCTGTTAGCAGCCCCTGGCAGCCAGCAGCCGGAGCTGTCGCACTGGGTTCGGCACATCCACAGCTTTGATGGCCAAGATGGACCAAGCACCATGAGGAAGAGGTGACCCTGGACCAAAGCAGGAGGCCAGAGGGACCTGTGTGTAGCAAAACAGGCTACAAGAAGAACCATCTCTTCATGCAGTAACCAAGGTGCCAAGATACATCTCTTCATACAGTCTTCCAAGAGAAGAGCTGTCTCTTTGGTCAGTCATACTTGGCCTCATGTATATCTTTGTATGGGCTCTGCAGGCCTCCCTATTCTGCTTAGTGCTGCCCCAAAAGGGCTGCTGTGGGGGCTCAGGGCAGTCACAATTCATGTTTTAACTCATTCGTTCCTGATTTTTAACCCACAGGGAAGCACTCCCTGGTTTGGTGGCTGTTGGAAATAAGCCGGTAACTAGCAGTGGTTGATAAGTTGCATTGTCACTCCCTCCGGGGTTTGTGTGGGCCCTGCCATAACGTGGCAAAGCTTCCGCAGGAGCCTCTGTGTGCAATGCAGGTGGGGACACGAGTGTCACACCAGGAACTGGCTGTGTGCTCTTGGGTTGTGGCTGGTAGTGGGACCTGCTCATGCCTTTGAGCTAGATGTGTAGCTGTGTCTTCATCACCAGAAAGCAGGAAGGGAGGTTTCTCCACATGCTGCTGTCCCTGGAGGATTTTTATCCTGGCAAAGCATTTCTGTCCTCTTCCAGGTGCTCTAAGGCCTCACAGTGTCCTGCAGTTTGAGGTGGGATGAGCAGAGAGAACTACAACTGCAACCCCTTCCATGGACATTGGAGACTGGAGGAATCGAGGTGTGCTTTCAGATGTAATTATTTAATATAAACTCTGACAGTTCTTTGTGCTAGTTAGACACATCAATGGGTCTTACTCCTGGAAATGTTAATATTGTAAACTCATTTTCCAGCTGTGCTGTCCTGCTGGTTTATAACGTGTTGCCGCTCTGCAAGAGTGGAGAGCCTGGCTTGCACTGGCACAGTTTTAAGTCAAATTCCAGGCTTTTCTGGCTGCAAGCTTTGCTTGTCCTGTCTTTGTCATCCTATATACAGACATGAATAACATCAGTGCAGTGGTGCTTTGTTGCAGGACTTAGCACAGGCCTGGTGCAGGGCAGGGGGATCCAGTTGGACATGTTGGGTGCTCATACCCACTTCAAGTGCCTGCAGCTCTCATGTGCTGGCATTAGATGGGAGGTGTCCCCATGCTCCAGGTAAAAAGACCCATCCTAGTTTTCATGGGCATCATTTTCAGGGCACTTTGCTCACCCACAGCTCCCAAATGCTCCAAAGTGCCGGGAAGGTTTCTCCTCATCCCTGGGGCGATGTCACCCATTGGCACCTCACGAGGCCACTTGCTCGCCTGTCAGCGATGAACAAGCACAGGGTTCCCATGGAGAGTCGTCCCTCCTGTCACATCCCACAGCCAGAGCCCCTCACAGCCTTTTCAGGCTGCAACAAAACATGTTTTCCACCACGATTTAAAGCAGGTTTTATTTGAGTTCAGCGAGCTGGCGGCTCTGTGCTATCTGTGGCTCACTGCTGGAGGGAGCTAGGAAATACCCCGGGTGTGGGCCTAAGGCACAGTGGGGCTTTCCCCACACTGCTCTTGAGCTTCACATGGCCATGGCACAGCAGTGACCCTGAAATCCTGTACCAGCAGCTGTCAGTGCACTGCTGTCATGGCTGGTCTATGGAGCAATGCTCAGACTTGGTCCTTAGTGCAAGAGGATTCACTCTTACACCAGTTTAGTCTACACAGAGCTGGTGCAAGTTGAATCCTCCTGCGTGAGAGCAGAGTCCTGGTTTGTGGTTTGTGATGAGGATGGAGTGATGGTGAGGGGTTGGGGCTGCATCCCACTTTGTGCCTCAGATCTTTGCACTGGAAAAAAGCCCTTTTGCTTTCCTAACAAGGATGATTTCGATTATTTGCTATTCCTTTTCTATCTTACTTTAAATTTTGTTATCAATAGAGGAGTAAACACTGTGTACGCTGTGTGGGAGCAGCAGCGGCTTGTGGTTTTATGATTCCCCCCCAGCTGTGATTTATTGCTTTTTACATGTTTTAATCTATTCCCCCACACCCCCTCCTGCTTCTCCCTTTCTGCTGTGCAGCTCAGCAGCTGTCGGTATCACTGAAATGACTTGATGTTATTTTGCTCTACTTTGTTTCTGCTCATAGATTTGTTGAATGAAAACTGTTTATCTGGGACTGACGTGGGAGATTGGAGCCTTTCAAGAGGAGGCAACTCCCTGGTATAATTTTGCTCCAAAACGAGTGGAGCAAGAGCTCAGTGTTAAAACAGCCCAACCGAAGTCCCTGAGCCTGAGATTGTGCAGAAGCAGCAGCTCTAAGACCTACAGAGGTGTTTCATAGAAAAGCGTCTTTCCTTTCTCCAGTGCCCCCTGGGCAGCCCTGCTGGGCTCTTGCCAGAGGCGAATTTGGGGTTTCTTTAGGATGCTGGGAGGCTTTGTTGGAATAGCGGGTGGTGGGTAGCAGGTATCTGGGTGCAGATGAGTTGTTGCCCTCTCCATGGTGAACGCAGAGGTGCTGGAGCAGCATCTGAGTGTGCCTCTTTACCTCCCGTCTTCTTCATCCCCACTTCAATACCAGGCATCCAGCAAAGATTACTCTCTGGGACTTAATAAACCTGGAGAGAGGGTTACACATCCCCAAAATAGGTGCCTGCCTCTTGTCCCATGAGAAGTGATGGGCATCTGCAGGGTGCACATTCCTGCCAGCCTGGGTGCTGGGGTTTGTGTGTTAACATTGAGGATAAAGTTGGATGTTGAGGTTGTGATGTCTGTGGTTGGGGCTGCAGCAGGTCTCAGGGTGTGGATGGTTATCCCTAGGGGCACCAGTGGGACGTGAGGGATGAGAGGAGCTTTGCACTGCTGCACAGACAGGGGTGAGGCTGGGAGGGACATCTGTGTTTTACATTGCTCACACTTGGCCCTCCAGGTTCAGAGGCCAGTGGCCAGCAGCCAGGCGGCTGCTGTGATTTGAAGTTAAAGAAACCCCAAACCTGGTCACTGCCACCTAAAATGACAGAAGCTGGTTTGCTGCCAGCGCTGCTCAGAGAAATCCCACATCTTTTGCTCCCTCAATACCATCCACACAGCTTGTGGGACAGCTTTTGCCTGGGGAATACGCTCTTGTTTGAGGGATTCAGGATCCCTTTTTCCCACAGAGCCCCGGCTCCTTTCTTCCCAGCACAATCAGCCCTCTTGCTGCTTTTCTTGCCTTTTCTTCCAGGGCTTTCCCACATTCTGTTCACACCTTCATGAATATTCAGAGTCCATTGGCCATATGAAGCTATTGAGAGCTCTTGTTAACACTCCTCCTAATGACATGCACCTTCAATAGAAAACAAAAACACAGATAAGAGCTTGTTAGCGGAGACCCTTGTTCACCACCTAACAAGGTTTCCATTGACTCGGACACTTGTGGTGACACATTGCTTGCTCTCACTGTTGCCTCTTTTGATTTGTGACTGGCTTTTAGGAAGGGTTTTCCCTTTATTTTTTATTCCTCTTTTCTTACTTTTTTGTAATTTTATTGTGCAGTTTTAAGCTAATTAAGACCAAGGTCAGGCCTGCCTGCACAATGAGTTATGGGGCTACAATGAGCACAGGGAGCAGCGTGCTGCAGCCCCGAAGCAGTGGGCGATGGGCTCTCCTGCTGTGCCTGGGAAAGTTGTGCCACCAGTGGCATCGCTGTGCCCGTGCCTGGCAGAAGGAGCCACAGTTGGGTCAAGAGGTGGTTAAAAACCCCAAGAAAGGCTCAGGAAAGGGGCTGGGACCACCCGCTGCGCTTCCCAAGAGCTCCCTGGGTCCCAGCACATCATCGGTGGCCAAAGCGCTATTCACAAGGCTGTGCTGTGGGGTGACTCCTCCCAAACATGACCAGGCTTCTGTGCCAGCACTGCCATGCTCCCGTGATGCTCCCAGTGGTGTTGCTCCTGGTTTATAGACTCATAGAATCAGGTAGGTTGGAAAAGACCTTGAAGACCATTTAAGTCCAACCATTAACCCAGCACTGCCACATTCATCACTAAATCATGTCCCTAAGGGCCTTATCTACATGCTTCTTGGACACTTCTAGGGATGGTGACTCCACCACTGCCTGTTCCAATGCCTGACCACCCTTTCAGGGAAGAAATTTTTCCTAATATCCAGTCTGAACTTCCCCTCGTGCAGCTTGAGGCCATTACCTCTTATCCTATCACTTGTTACTTGGGATAGGTGGCTCTATACAGAGCAATACCCTGTAGCCACTTCCCCAATGGCACTGTTTGCTTTTCCCTGGCACAGAAATCCCATCTGGCTTTGGCAATTCTTGGTTTTCCATCCTCCGGTTGTGCTCCGCCTCCCTCCAGTGGTCTGGTTTCCATCAGGCAGAGCCCACCCATTGCACACCACAAAATGCCTCACTTGGTAGTGGGTATTTTTGGCCACAGCTTCTTATTTCTGCTATTATGAGGCTCTTGCAGTGTTGTTTGTCATCTTGTCAAGGCCCCTGAGTTTCTATGGATACTGCTCTGCGAACTGGGGACAGTTGATGCTATCAGTTAAGACAGAATCGTGTCTGAACTCTTCCAGAGGACTTTATGAAGCTCCAGAGATAATTTCCCTGCAATGATCTGCTCTTGTGGAGCTGCCTTTTCAGTAACAACTGCTCGGTTGATGCTCCAT